TCCTCCTCTCCTCTCCCCTCCCCTCCCTTCCCTTTCCAAACACCCAAACCAGGTACGATGCCAACCCCCCCCCCCCCCCCCAACAAACCATTATACGCCGGTCCGGTGCAGCCCTATGATACGAAGCCGTATAATACCGTACCGTACCGGAGCCAACCCAACCACCCATTCGGAAAGAGGTATCATATGTATAATATCGTGCATGATAATATATTATGGTGAAATCGATGGGGACATAGTTTATCGTCGACTTGGACTTTATCGGTGTGGAGTAGATTGTAATGATAATAATAATAATAATAATATTTGGCGCCTCGTGATGTTTTGGAGAACGTTGGACTTGCCTTTTTTTATTTTTTTATTTTTATTTTTAGAATTGGTTTCTTGGGTTCTGGAATCATGTTTCTGTCTGTCTATCTGTCTGTTTGTAATTAAGCTGGGAGGGGTTCAGTTTTTGTTGTTCTGTTTTGGATGGTCCCTACCCTACTAGATTATGATATAATTATGATACCTTAGACTACGATATCGTGTTACCCGAGAGAGGGAATTTCGGACGTCTCGGTCTGAGTCGAGTTTCTTATAGTGCGGGTGCTGTACCCTACTGCGGACCATCTCACAAGTAGTGTAGTGCACTGTACAGTATAATACTGTACCTACAGTAGTCATTAATTCGGTACGCCAAGTTACAGTTTTCCATCTTGGGCATCACATCAAGAAGCCGCCCCGCGAACAGAGAAGGGCCCCGGCGATGATTATTATTATCATTACTATGGTATAATAATATCATACCGTACATTTGGTGCGTCAGTGTATATATCGGGTCATTACTAATACGTTGCAGGGCACTGTACGGCACTGCACTGTACGGTACTGTACTCGTACGGTGCAGTGCAGTGCAGTGCGGTGCGGTGACGGCGGCGGTAACGCAGCGCGGGAAGGTAATTTATCGTACACGTGCCTGACTGAGGCGTGCTTGTATCATATCTATATAGTATCATAGACCCACCCCCCCCCCCCCCCCCCTTCGCACATATCGTACACATACACACCATCAGCACCGCGGGAGCGGGTTCGGGAATTCGAGCCTCTTCTAAGATTGCACGCCTTGGTACGGTTATTATATTATCGTGTCTGTGGCCTTTGTTTTTTTTTTTTTTTGCCTGCTCTTGCGGATTTATTTCTTTATTTGTGCTGAGGAATATTGTTGCCTTTTTTTTTTTCTATTTTCTAATTGCATTGTCGTTGTTCCGTGTTATCGTGTTGGCAGTGGTTTAATTTACCGGTATTATGATAGGGCTTCTCCAATTGTAAATTTTTATTTTTTATTTTTAAAAAAAGATAGGAAACAGTTCGTGCACATTATCGAGTTGCATTACTATCTGTTCACCTTTTTTTTCTTCTTTTCTTCTCTTTTTTCCATTTTCTTGGGCGAAGGAGAGAGAATAGTGACTTTGGTGGTCTCTTAGGGATACTTAATTTAAGTGTTGGTTTTACTCACTTTGCGCGCCTGGATACGGCAGGCGGGTGGGTGAGTCTGGTTAGCTTACACTAGATCTTATAGTGAACCGCGGGTCTTGTATAATATCGAGCGGTTACTGCACTGTAGTAACCGGCTCCACTATCGCCCTCTAACAAGCAGGCTTTGCTTAAAATCGAAGGCGCAAAGGATGGGCTACTCGGGCGTGGTGGTGGTGGTGGTGGTGGTGGTGATGGAATTATATTATAGCACACAGTAATATTATGGGTATAGCACAGTACCCGGTATTAAGGTCCCTGCAGGAAGAACTGTCTGGGAAGGTTGAACAGAAGCCGGGAGTCCTCACGTGCCCTTGACGCCGGATAGATAGTTACCCACGGTCGGTCCCGTAACCCACAAAAACGTTTTTTCTATGTGCCGCGATGTATCATAATTTAGCTACTGTATCTGTACCTGTATTGCGCAATGCCGCCGTTACTAAACCATCCACCGCCTCCCGTGTTAACCGTGTGCCAGTGCCGGGGTTTGGGTCAACTATGTCAAAACACTTGAACCGTAGCTATGGTAGGCAATCTGATTGGTGGTGATGGTGAGGAAGATTCCGCCTCCCTACTCGTGTCAGTTCCTATTAAGCTTCTTTGGAGGGTGCATCCTGTCATCGAGTGTCCTAATTTGCCGACCTATACCGATGTGCCCGCAGGTCACCCACTGGGTTGGGTCTCTCCCGGCTACTACTCGGGTATCATACTGTGTTCTGTCTCGTGGCCTAGAGTCTTCCGGGTGGGGGGGGGGAGGAGTATCATACTTGGATGTTTTTCTCCGTCAATGGGTATATACTCGGGGTATGATACGTCATCTAAGAACTGCGTATCCACTTCACTTGTGGGGTATCCGATTCCCACTTGCTAGCAAGCCAACGGTCAATCCCCAGCCGCTAGAATCGTGTATATCACTGGACGGGACCAAAGATTTGGCTGGGAGGCATGTGTTTGTTCCGTTTCTCCCATTCCACCACCTTCGAGGACCCTGTTGATCCGGCTCAAATGGCAGACTCTGTCAGCGGCTATCCCAGTGAAAGGGAATTTCCCAAAGTAGGTCCTAAACGGCACATCTAACTTCCTGGGGAGAGGGGGGGGGGGGCTGCTTTACAGCACACAGTCGATGTATCCTCTCTTGAGCCACAATTGTACCATAGTAAAACAGAGAGAGCTCAGGAGCAGCATCAATCCATCCTAGCATTTTTATTTTTATTTCTATTTCCCTTCAGCATCCGTGCCGACTACCTAGAAACCAATTTCCCCTATTCTCATCAACGATGAATCCGTTGGATGGATGGATGGATGGATGGATGGCTGGAGAGCGCCTTCCCCGACGGATAGATGGCTTGTGATCTTGATCCTATGGTATGAATACTCTGCAAACTTTCCCCATACATGAAATCCATAGCCATCGATAAGCCACCGATATGAATTGGTCTGATCAAACTTCCATCGCTGCCTTCGGTGGGCTATGAGAACACCCGTATGTCTGTCACTGTCTATGTGTAATTTGGGTAACCCGTATGCGGATCAACTAACCGTGCCGGATCGGGAAACTTCAACCCATGTTCCCTGGAATTCCGCCCCGCAGAAAAGCCCCACTCCCCACCCCCCCCAGGTATAATAAAATAAGCACAGGACATAAACGAGATTTCGAGAAGACTAGAGGGGAAGAGGAAATGGGGAGTTTCAATGCGGGCCGAGGCGGTAAACAAACAGGACAGGAGTAGAAGGGTTAGCGCGAGGAACTTCCAAGGGTGATAGATGTGCGTGGTATGGTTCGTGCGATCCAAAATGTGCACCAGGCTGAGAAAAAAAAGTGTTACATATGGCTGTGCTAAATTTTGCTGCCAACCGCTAACTTTTTGCCAAGAAGTTATCAAAATTGAGGGTTGGTGAGAAGAAGTTTGGATTTATCAATGTTAATAGCAGATGAGTTTTCAGTTCGGAATTGTGTTAAGTGTATATCAAAGTGACATGTACGGTTGATAACTTGTAGTATGGTAATATTAATATGACATAGGTGTATTAGCACGCTTAACATACCGTATTTTCCCGGGAAACAATTTAGAGTATGACTAAGCCTGTTCAGTGCTGTATCATACGTACCTGTATTTTCGACTTTCTACCCCCCGAAAGTACAATATTTTGGATTCTACTCGTACGTCGAAAACTTTTTTTTTATTCTCCACCATATCTTCATTATCAAACAGAGTTTTTCTTATTCCAACTGGTTCCGTAGGTCTGGAGCCTTTAGGATTTGAGAATGTCAGAGTTTCTGGTGCCGTTTTGGATTGCACGAACCGTGCAACCACCACCATGAGCTGCATTTGGTCCTGCAGGTTAGAGAGCCAAAACAAGGCCCAGGCTGGGCGGTAGCTGTGTAGTGCGGAATAAGCGGCTCACCGGCAGCCCCGGAGAATAAAGTAAGCGAGCGAGTGAAAGAAGGTTAGTGTAGGAGTGAAGAATGGAGACGAGGAAGGGAAGGGCGTTCTGTGGCTCCTTTGATAAGTTCTGGCTACTTTCCTAGCCGGTGGTGCATGTGGGGGCTATATTGGGCACAGAGTAATCAGAGGGGATGGCCACGAATGGCCTGCCGCCGAACCAAAGCGGAATATATGGTGAATGTCCACCATGCTGTGTGGCAGACGGTTTATACCATTGGTCCCCGGGCTTCCCCGGGGCCAACTTCAAGTATTTGCCCCGAATCGCCTTTCATCATGGCGGGGCGACTAGTGAGGCATCCACCGCAGTTTGACCCGAACTGCGCATGAGCCGATTCTGGAATGCTTTATGCCGCATCTGCGACACGCACGAAACTAGCCGCTGCAGGACCGCACCGAGTTTCGGTGGATGGGGAAGCTTCGCCTCTTCCACACCTTGTGCCCAAGGCTAGGGAATGCCTGGTGATGCGGGCCAATGTGCACTGGGGCTTACCTAGTACCGTGGGGCTGTCATATGCAGCGACTGACAAAGGGTTGGTACCGGTTTTGAAAGAGAAGTACGGTGGTACCAATAAATGGGCCCCGCAGTTCTTCGAGGGGGAGGGTTGTAGGGAACAACTTGCTTTTGCTAGGCAAGCTTAAGGATTAAGCTCTGAATGATCTGCGTGGCTGAAAACTGTGCGACTGAGTTACAGGCAAGCACCTGGTAAGTGCTAATGCCTGGAGCACGGGTGAATGTGGAAGTAGGGAGGTAAATCGGTTGGGGATCACAAAACGGCAGGGCCTCGGCAGGCGGTAACCATTAGGGTCATGGAGGAGTAAACTGGAGAGAGTGTGTTAGCGGGGCGTACTGGTATCAGTGAAGAGTTGGCCCCGCCGAAGGTGATCACCCGCAGGCGGCTCCACCAAGATAATCGACATTTATTCTAAAGGAATGGATTATTTGGAAATAGCGCCAGGTCAGCTCAGCCCAGGCGCCAACTCGACCAGATCCTCGGACGATTCTGGATCGTTGTTCGAAAGGGTCTCAGATTAACCGGATCGTCTCTGCAGCGGTGTATGCTGATCCTTGCGATGAGGTTTCGTGTGCCGGCACAGGTTTGAGGCTCTAAAATTAAGATGCGGCTCAGTAGCGGAGCCAAGACATTGTGACCCGTTAAACTGGGGCATGAGGTCATTCATACAATTATTAAACTTCGATCAACATGGTCTAGCACACAGGGGAAGGTGTCCCGTCATCCGGATCCGGTGATAGCTGATCGATTTGCAACAGGAACGCTTGCATACAATGCCAGAGCGGGGTGGAGCTGATGCATCTCTATGCCACGCTCAACACGTGTTGTAGGATCATCTTGGTGCCGTCTGCGGTCCGAGTACTCGAGTAACCCAGGTCTCAAACTGCTCGGTCAGCCAGGCAACAGATATCCGGAGATCTGCGGAAACCCCATGCCAGTTTCGCGGCGGAGTCCAATTATTTTTGAAAATAAATTGGAATTAGGCCAGCAAGTAGGAGCACATACTTGTGTATGTGTGTCGCTTAGCGATACTGGTCGGGTTCAATTATGATACTGTATTGGAATGTGAATAGTGAACACCCCTGAGGGAGTGAGGTGCGGTTTTGAGAAGCGTGCCCCAGAAAGGAAATTATCCAGTGTTTCCTGCCATGGAACGGGTTTTTGTTCCGTGCTGTTCCCTGGTTCAGGGAATGGTGTCTCCGGAATTCATTATACCCGGAGAGCAAACCATGGTTGAGCGGTATCCTGGATCACAAGCTGGCACCTTCCACCTGAAACGACCCACGGCAGAATTCTGGAGCAAGTAAGAGACTCTGGAGCGGGGTGGATGCTATCTTTGGCCATGAAGTAATTAGGTAATAGGCACACTTATAGGGTACAAGTACCGTATTATGCCGTCAACAGGCTGTTGATAATTGTTCGTTTTGGCTACCGTAGTTCGGCGCCCCCCGTCAGCACCTCCGCGAGTTTCGCTAGATTTACCGCATTGCCGCCAAGCGGGTGTGTTTACTCCTGCTCTTTTTCCCAGCGTAATCCCTACGCGCTGTCTCGGTAAGAAGTCCGACCGACCTCGCCCTGTCCCACGGCTACCCACAGGATTCTGTTCTGTCATCAAAGACATAAGGGACGCGTGGTGAACCCCCAGTGCGGAGGGCACCGCAATCGGATTCGAAGAGCCGGCACCTATCCATCCCTTCCACCAATGAAAGCCGTTGGTCGTTCGGCCAGGCCTTGCTCCCGGTAACTTAACCCAAACCAGTAGGTAGGATTGATATCTGCTTATTCTCTACTCGAGCATTGACTCACCTAAGGCTGGTGTGGCAGATCTGCCGGTAGGTTGCACGGCGAGGTCCCTTTCCCTGGAATATGTTGGTCGATGAATTCCGTCAACCCATTTCTGGACTTTCGTGCCATTTTACTGCCAGGGCGAAACCGTGGATGGAAGGCGCGCATGTGAACTTTGGAATAAGATCAAGTGCCCCGCGTACTGAGTCATTCGGTACCAACACCGGCATAGCTATCCAAGTATCTAGCAAGAAGTGCCTGGGCGCAGGGATTACAAATTTGTATGGCAGATTGTCTGTGCGTGTCTGTGCCCGTCTGAGAGCCATACTAAATTCTGACGGGATCCAGCACGCATGTTCAGGTACTTCTTGCTGGGTACCTGTCCAGAGTATAGCAGGGCCTAGCTGGTACAGGTACTCGCAACATCCAGAGGGCGACTCCCCTGCCTTGGTATGTTAGTAATGGATCAATTGGGAAGATGCATTACGGGGATGAGAGGGATAGGCCTTCCTGTGCCCTGACTCACTCAGTCAACTAAACTTCCGCTCGCCTTCCATATTTCATATGATAGGAGGTAAGGCTACCCTAGTACTGGTACTCTACCTTACCGGTACTTTTCCTACCAAGACTGGATAATTAGAATGTATGGAAGGAACGGAGCCCAAGACCCAGCCACCCCACCGGTACCGAAGCTGATTTGTGGTGGTGCACATTGCCTCTATCTGCACACTGTTAAAAAAGGAAAACCGTAGGGTTTCCTTGAGCCCAAAAGTGCGTATATCCATTTAAGGGACGAGCTGATGGCATTCACTTGGGAACTCAAGTAATGTTGGTAGCTGAAGCCGGTCGAGGCGGGCTAGCGGGAATATATCGTGGTAGGAATTCTGAGTCATTGTAAGTCGGTTGAATTAGCTCTCGCTAAGTCAAAGAGGGAAGGTGCTTGGAAGCATGGAATTCCACTTGAAGGATTCCCCGGCTTACATGATGTTTCGAGCTCTGAAGCAGGGAATCGATCTGATGACTAACACACCTTATAATGTAGTAAACCTATTTCCCGCTGTGCGTGCAGCAGTCTCCTTTGGGTAATAGAACGACTTGACGTGGTATAGCGTGCCATAGTTGGTTCATCGCAAAGTCGCAGATCACCCACTAGGCCCTCCCGTATCCAATATGGCATCTAGGAGTAAGGCGGTGGCCTCTAGGATTCCATAGGGCTGTTAAGGATGCAGATTTGGAGTTCTGATTATGAACTACTAGCTATATAAAACTGGGTATTTAGATTCTTGGTCATAGAGAATCACCCGGTCATGCCTTCTGTGTGTACACCTGTTGGATGGAGTTCGAGGGCGATTGCCCTCCTTTATGCTAGATCTTCTGGGTGGTGGATGGTAAGTAGACTCTGGGATTGACCCGAAGAGAAGACACTGCACAAGCGAGGCTGCCCCAATTTGGGGCTATTGAGCAGTGGTTTCAATGATCTGATTACAAGCCAGGTCTGAGATTGCCGACTCCGATGTTGTTATAATCACACTAGTAGAGTGTTGTAGTGTTGGAATTGCACATCGGGTCAAGCACAAGAGTTGGGGTATGTATAGAGTCAGGTATGGAAAATGTGAGGTTGGAGATATACAAATGTGTGGTTTTCAAGAGTGCGGATGGGTGTGAGGGTTTACCCTCTTATGATGTCTTCCTATGATACCTATATACTGTAATATTACCGTTGCTAGCCGCCATCCGTAGAAAGAACACACTTCTCTATAACTCTGAGGTGGCCTCAAAACTGTGCAAGTCCACCACCAGCCCCCAGCCTAGGATACCTTACTATCTCCTTAATATGTTAATATAACCGGTGAATACTTCTCGCACATAACCCAGGGGGGCACTATGTTGGCCCCTCGATGATGGATACGGATACGGGTATGAGAGGATACCGACCTCCTCTCACCAAATGATGTTCGGGAGTATTTTCCAGAGAAATTACTGGCTCGGGAGAACCAGAGTATCCTATGAACTCCTGAGCCTACGTGAGTAGTTCTACCCTCCATCATAGCCATAACTTGCTTACGGGATGCTAGTTCACCAAAGACCCACAATCTCTAAACCTCAGAGACATGGTAACTCTAGCTTCCCCAAAAGAGTTTACCCAATACACTCCCAAGAGCCATGCTCTCGGGGTCGCGGGTTATCACCATCCCTACTATCCTACATCGTAAATGGATCTCGGGTTCTGTCTCCAGTACGCCTAGAGAATTTGCTACATTTTCTCAAAGAAATCGATAAGGACAGGGGTTTCTCCTTCATCGAGCCCTCTGACTGATTAAGGTGTGCCGAGGGGCGGTCAAAGTATGCATGTAGTACAATGTATGGGTAAAACCTCTCACTACCATGAGCTAGTTTTGAGCATTAATTAGTAGTTGCTAGGGTTTAGAAAGATACACAATATAAAGGAATACTTTTATTCATCCTCAAGAACCACTGCACTCCAACCATCGCAGTAAAATGTGGCCCAACCCCACCGGGGCATGGGGAATCATGGCGCTCGAAGGGTAACTCACCGTTAGACAGCTGGCTCATACATAGTCCCTATTAACGCCCCCCCGCCTCCCAGCACCTGCCTCACGGCCTTCATATACCAGTGGCTCTGGTTTTACAATCCCCCCTACTCTAAGATGTCCATGGCGCCAGACAAGCCAGGGTGCTTAATGAGTGGGTGAACCAACATCATCATCCCTCCTACCTACTAACTTTCTTATATTGCCCTTTTACTAGTGCTTCGCTTGAGTGGTTCTAGAGCTGAGAGAGATCACCACTCAGAGCGAAACATGAACAAACATCTTGCACCGAAACAATCCACCTTTAGACTACAATATATCTGGGGACCAACCCAAACTCTCTACCCCCAATAGTATTAATGCCGCCATATCATTCTGGCAAACTCAGGCATTCCCATCCCGTAAGTCCGGTTTTCCAAGTAATCGCCCCGACGAAAAGGATATAACACCTGGCACAAATCACGGCATGGGGATAGAGCCAAGTGCCCCGGCCCCACTCGCTGCCAAGGACCCCCTAAGGGATTACCCCCCAGAAATCCAAACACTGCATTGGCCATTGAACCGATAACTGAATGTATCAAACTCACCACTACTCGCCTTACTAAATGCAAGATTGGCGAAAAAGAGAGGAAGAAAGAAAGAAGGAAAAAACCTCCAAAATTCAATTTATCTATCTACAGTACTATAACCACAGTCCTGAAATCTCCATTGGGGGCAACGGGCGGACGCAAGCTCTGGCAGAGTCGCCGGAAAAAGTGACCATGCAGTGGATGGAGTACACGAATGGATAAACGGGGGCAAAACTTCCTGCTCGACTGTTGGTAAGGCCTTGCCACAATACACCGCTCTGCTAGGCCACCCTCTGTTGGTGAATTATTGATTTGCACTCATTCTCACTCGCTACTAGAGTTTTGTGTTCATGGTTAGCATCGGGCCTGCTCGCCAGAAAACCATCAGCAGGGAATCTCCTGCGGCGTTGCATGGCTTTTTCTACAATGTGAGTTTGCATGCTATCATATACTCGCTACTTTTTTGAGGGGTATTGGCATGTTTCTAGCACAATTGCTACTAGGAAGTTTTGTCAAGTTCATGATACAGCCCAGGAAGTATACATGGCACGGATGAGAAAAGACTTTTTACGGGGTTGTGCTTGAAGGAAGGGCTATAATACATATCAGCAGAGCCGCCACTCCTCGGGTCCTACCATGTAATTGATGGAGCACGGGTTTCGGTCACAGTGATAGGAACAGTCTCCGGGGATAGGACACTTACCGTACCCGGTTTAGGACTGACGAGAGCGTGACCCACTTAACCAGATGGTGTCATGGTAAGCCGAGTTGAGAAGGGAGGTTCCGCTATTTCAGGGTACTAGGGAAGGGGTGGAATGGCGAGGCTCTCCTCCTAGATGGTCACGAATCCCACTCTAACTGGATTCTTTTTTTTCTCTGACCTTTGGCTTGTAATAAAACCGTCCACTTGCGTTCCCGCATACTAAGCTCCATCATCAAACCATTGAACCTTAGGAGTTCTGGACCTTTTTGTAACGTCACCGCAGCAACGGGCTTACTGCTTAAGCCCTGTTTGGCTGCGCTGGTCCCATTCAGGACTATTCCAGTGTGAAATGGTTGGACCCGTGCAAATGGTCGTCGTCCATTCAACACCACTCACTTCCAATGAACACCCAGAACCCTTTTTGACTGGAAAAAAATTAAAAAAGTGTTATTGAGCCTCTTGAAAAAAAATTCAATAATGCATCTAATCCTTCTCAAATTCATACCTTTGACCCCCTGCCAACAGCATGCCTACATCTGCATATAGGGAATTATCTTCAGATTGAGATGCCATTGAATCAAAGGATATTTTAAAATGCCTTTCTGATATGATTAATGTCTAAGAAAGTTATTCTATAGGCAAATAATGGTTGTCCTGGTGTTGTGAATATTTACATTTATAGGGCAACTGTTGCATTAGGGCTGTTGTGAAATGGAATTGTCAGTACCTTTTACTATTGCCAAACAGCCATTTTATTCTTCCATTTCGAAATGGAAGGGAAATGGACGTTTGTATGTAACAACGAAATGGGACCAGCGCAACCAAACAGGGCCTTAGGTATCGAAGTGTGAATGATGAAACTTTACAAAGGGTGACTCCCACCTCTACATTTTCCTCCCGGGCATATTATTCATTTTTTTATATTAAACTGATATCAGCTACCAGCACTATTAGGTCTGGGATGTATGTATGGGATTCTTATCCATAGTTATGTTCTAGGATCCTGACAGAAGAGAATGTTTCGCGATTACGAGAGCCTGTGGCCATGCTCATGTCTCTGAATCCTTATCGAGTGATCCACAGTGAGACCTCAGAATGGAATGATAGAACTGCTTTGGCACTGTATGATACCTTCCCCGTAGATCTCCCATGCTCCCTGGCACGAGGCGCCCTGTACTATACTATACACGTAAGTACAACTAGCCAAAAACCTCACATCTGGCAATATCTCTCATCAAGCATGACATTTAGGCACCGCCCCGGAGGCTGGGATCGCTCTTAATTAGCTTGATAAGGGATTCGAAGGGGCCTTCCCGGAAAAGGTGGTGGATCTGAAGGAGACAAGAAGTAAGTAGAACAAGATTAAGCATCAATGCCTATAGAAATGAGTATTTATTGAGCTTTAAGAATAGGATAGAAGTGATTCTGCCTTCAGAGGAGAGAAGAAAGTTTCTGGAATAGAGAAAAAGATCAATTTGTTACAGTTGATTCTTAAGTTCAAAACATATCTATAATGGTATATTTACACAAGAAGTACTTACCCTTATATAGTACAATAATTTTTTTTCTTTTTTTACTTAATATATTCTATTATATGTTAGACCTATAGAATTAGAGGCAGAATAAACAGTGTTTGAAAATATTTGCTAGAAATATAAATGCTGAGTGGTGTTCTATCAAATATTGTTTCAAGAGTATTTTATTAAATTTAGCTGTATAAGACTTAGAGACATCAGCAAAAAGGTTTCTGTATCAGATGCGCCTGCCTTCTATTTAGATACAACTGGGATAAATACTGTGTGTGGTATGTTGTGTGCATCCTGGACATAGGTGCCACATCTGATTACATGTTAGACTTGGGTGCCATGTCTGGTTGTGTCCATTGGATCCCATATTCTCAGTTAGGTAGTTCTATATCTAGATCACATCCTATGCTAGCTTGGCCCAGTTGTTATAGTAGGAGACTCCTTAAACTGAACTAGTTTGATGTAAATAATATGGGAAATTTTAACAGCTGAAGGCTTGTCAATCAAATTAAATATCAATAAAATAATAGTATTAGAAGGAATATTAGCTTAATAGAATGAAACTAATAGGGAGTAAATTGAAAATTAAGCAAAAGTGGATGATTTATTATGATTTGAAAGTAAGTAAGTTTTGGTAAAGAAAGTTAGAATGTCATAGTTAGAAAGAACTTGATGATTGTTATAGGTGGTTGCTGTAGAGATAGGTTTAGTAGAAGTTTATGATACTGGAAAAGAGAGAAAGAAGCAAAAGCTGGCAGAGGGAAAGGAGCAACAGAACAGATACATTGTTGTATGATACTATAATATACTACATTAGTAAAAGTAAAAGCTTATGTCCTGTGCATCCTGTGTATCAAATGTACAGGACATACAGAATATAAACTGTGACTCAGGATACAACAGTTCTTAGTGCCAGAAGATAGTGTTGAAGGTTTTAGAAGGATGTAGTGATCAATAGAAGAGTCAGAGTTTACTGTTTGTGTTTTTTTTCATTTATATGTCTGTTGTTACCATTAGTTTAGAAGTGAGAATATAGCCATTCTTTTTATCTTACCTCTCATAACTGCTCG